TAAGGCACATATTTCTCCTGGTCATTTGCAACCTAATGCTATGGCCAATAACATTACCAAACGGAAACCAACCCTTGACTGGATGATTTCCTAGGGATAACCCTTTGCATAGTGCCGAACCCCTCCAAACGCTCCATAGACTCCACCAACCTAAGCGTGCGATACCCTGAAATCAAGCGTCTCTGAACGACGCGCCTCTTTTATAGCGTTTGTGCTGAATTTCAAAGCACAGCTGATTTTGAAAGCGAGAGCCAATCACAGGAAGGTATTCGCAATAACGTCCTTCAGCAGTGTTTAATAGAAAAGCAAGGAATGCGAAAACCAATGAGATTGCAGACGACCCCAATTGGTCAACGATGTAGCGTTGGCACTGGCTCAAACTGTACGCATAGGGGGAGTGTAAAGTTGACAATACGGCTTTGCAAAGGCGTCCATACCAAAGGCTATTTGCATTGCAGTTGACGTAGATGTTAGTGGATGGGCTCGTTTGTGCTCACTTTGAGGGGTCGACGCACTTAAATGTCATACGTCACAGGCCACATTTGAAAGCAGAAAATCGATACACCAAGCATGTCAAACACAAACAAACGCACTTTGAATTTCGACAATGGTAAATTTGACTCAAGATTTAGTACCTGCAGTAGTGTACTGCGACCTTTAAAGGTAGAATTAATAAGGGTAGCTGAGATGGTTGCAGTGAGAGGTTGTGATAATGGTAGGTGCGATTGGTTCTCCCCCGCCCCCCCTCAGAGACTATGTTCACCTTAATTCAAATGCCATAAACATTGAAGGCGAAGAAACCAGCTACCTTAAATGTCTAGGCCGAATGCTGTCTACCTAACGAAGTTTGGTGTATGGGGCACGTTTAAGGTGGGAAGTGAGGATTCCATTCATGAAAGGCGGGAAATAATGGGATAATGAATTCATCAATTCATTTTTCTTATTACTTAACCAAAGCAATATAAAGTCAGGGGAAAGACATGAGGCAGAGTCGGTTTGAAAGAGAGGTAATGAAAAGTTAAGATCTTGAGACAGGGAAATGAGCAAGCATATCAGCTTGAAGTGAGGCAGTGAGAGGATCCTGAGTCACGTGGATCAATGTAGTTGGCACAATAGACTCCCTTCGTACAAGATCACACACAACCGCCTGGCAGAGACGACCCACCTCGCCAATTGGGCCTTGGAATTGCAGAGTTATCATTGGACCTAAGTCAAAGAAAAGAGACGAATCTCTAAAGACCTACGGACTAGAGGATCCACATAGTGAGAGAGAGAGAGAGAGCAAGAGATAGTCCACAGTGTTGTAGTTAGTCGGCGTTCGCTTTCATTAGAATTGGTAATCAGACGGGGCACACCAACAACGCATTGACAGCCAAATTAGGCATGCAATGAGAAGGGGAGCCCCACAACAAGGCATAACAACCGCACAATCATTCATTATGACTGTCGAGTCTATGCAAACACTACGACCCGATCAACTCCCCATAGTCTAATCCCCGAAGTCAGGAAGATTCGACCATAAGATTTGCAAAAAAAAACCAACCCGAAAACTCTCAATTCGAACGACTTTCAAGAGCATTGGTCAAACAGAACTCAATTAAGGGAAGCACAGGTCACAACTACCATGCGATCAGAGGTCATGGAAAAGTGAGACGCCATCAAATTATCCCAACATGAGTTATGGGACTGATAAATGGCATCTAAGCAAAACCAATTCTACTTTTGTAAACTGGCACAGACTGGAAAGTGATGACGCTCCTTAGCCTTGAGATTTGCTACAACCAAGAGGCACTTCGAGGATGACAATACAAATGACCTCATGCGCTCATTTAGTTT